TTCAGCTGCCTTTGTCCTCCTCCCCTCTACCCCCTACCCCCTCCCAGGCCCCCTCTCCAGGAGCTGACTAGGCAGGCTTCTTGGCCAACCCTCTCCCCTACACCCCCAGCTCTGCCAGCCAGTTTGCACAGAGGTAACTCCCTTTGGCTGAGAGCAGACGAGCTTGTTGCAAGGAAGGCTTTTAAGAGCACAGAGACTGAGGATCAACAGCAAGCCTGGAGAGCCCCTGATTCCAGGTCCTGCACCTCCTCGAGGCTGCGGCTCCTCACCCTGTGTGTGGAGCTAGAAATCAAAAGATGAAAAGACAGTCAGGGCTTCAGTAGTCGAAAGCAAAACAAAAGCTAAAAGAAAACAAAAAGAAAATAGCCCAGTTCTTATTTGCACCTGCTTCAATGAACATTGAATTTGGAAAGCAGAGGATTTTCCTTCCCGCCGTCAAGCTTTGAGCATCTTTTAATCTGTTCTTCAAGTATTTAGGGACAGACTGTGGAACTAGCAGGGCAGATCCTGTCTAGCGAGTGCCTTCCTTTACAGGAGACTTTGAAGCAATCTGGGCGCTTTTTTTCCTCCTGCAAGTTTTCTTCCCTGGAGCTTCCTGCAGGTGGGCAGCTAGCTGCAGCTACTACATCATCAGTCAGTTGAACTCTTCAGAGCAAGAGACAAGAATACAGAATAAGGGAATTCAGTGGAAGATATAGACAAACTCAAGGATGGAGGTGCAGTTAGGGCTGGGAAGGGTCTACCCACGGCCCCCATCCAAAACCTATCGAGGAGCTTTCCAGAATCTGTTCCAGAGTGTGCGCGAAGCGATCCAGAACCCGGGCCCCAGGCACCCCGAGGCCGCTAGCATAGCACCTCCCGGTGCCTGTTTGCAGCAGCGGCAAGAGACTAGCCCACGGCGGCGGCGGCGGCAGCAGCAAGGCGAGGATGGCTCTCCCCAAGCCCACATCAGAGGCCCCACAGGCTACCTGGCCCTGGAGGAGGAAGAGCCACCTTCACAGCAGCAGTCAGCCTCTGAGGGCCACCCTGAGAGCGGCTGCCTCCCAGAGCCTGGGACTGCCACAGCTCCTGGCAAGGGGCTGCCGAAGGAGCCACCAGCTCCTCCAGATGAGGATGACTCAGCTGCCCCATCCACGTTGTCCCTGCTGGGCCCCACTTTCCCAGGCTTAAGCAGCTGCTCCACCGACATTAAAGACATCCTGAGTGAGGCAGGCACCATGCAACTTCTTCAGCAGCAACAGCAGCAGCAGCAGCAGCAGCAGCAGCAACAGCAGCAGCAGGAGGTAATATCTGAAGGCAGTGGCAGCAGCGCGAGAGCAAGGGAGGCCACTGGGGCTCCCTCTTCCTCCAAGGATAGTTACCTAGGGGGCAATTCGACCATATCTGACAGTGCCAAGGAGTTGTGTAAAGCAGTGTCTGTGTCCATGGGATTGGGTGTGGAAGCATTGGAACATCTGAGTCCAGGGGAACAGCTTCGGGGAGATTGCATGTACGCGTCGCTCCTGGGAGGTCCACCAGCGGTGCGTCCCGCTCCTTGTGCACCACTGGCCGAATGCAAAGGTCTTCCCCTGGACGAAGGCCCGGGCAAAGGCACAGAAGAGACTGCTGAGTATTCCTCTTTCAAGGGAGGTTATGCCAAAGGGCTGGAAAGCGAGAGTCTGAGCTGCTCTGGCAGTGGTGAAGCAGGTAGCTCTGGGACACTTGAGATCCCGTCCACTCTGTCTCTGTATAAATCCGGAGCAGTGGATGAGGCAGCAGCATACCAGAATCGCGACTACTACAACTTTCCTCTGGCTCTGACCGGACCTTCACACCCCCAGCCCCCTACTCATCCACACACCCGCATCAAGCTGGAGAACCCTCTGGACTACGGCAGCGCCTGGGCTGCGGCCGCAGCGCAATGCCGCTACGGGGACTTGGCTAGCCTACATGGAGGGAGTGCAGCCGGACCCAGCACTGGATCGCCCCCAGCCACCGCCTCTTCTTCCTGGCACACTCTCTTCACAGCTGAAGAAGGCCAATTATATGGGCCAGGCGGCGGGGGCGGCAACAGCAGCCCAAGTGAGGCTGGGCCTGTAGCCCCCTATGGCTACACTCGTCCCCCTCAGGGGCTGGCTGGCCAAGAAGGTGACTTCTCTGCCTCCGAAGTGTGGTATCCCAGTGGAGTGGTGAACAGAGTACCCTATCCCAGTCCCAGTTGCGTCAAAAGTGAGATGGGACCTTGGATGGAGAACTACCCCGGACCTTATGGAGACATGCGGTAAGTTTCTCCTGAAAATGCCGCCTTTTGACCAAGGGCACAGAGCAGCACTTTGCGTTTGGGGGGATATAGGCATTCCTGCTCAAGAGAACGTTTCCAGGGATCCTAAAACAGCTCAGTCCAGTTCTATAGGAGAGGCTGTCCTACATCTGGAGCCCTCCTGGGGACTGTCCTCTTGTGAAATGTTCCACCTAAGCCCAGGAATTTTTGCTGCGCTCCGGGTGCTAATTGGTGCCCTTTGAGATTCCCCTACACCTCCCCCAGACACCTAAAATCCCCCATTAAAATCTTTCTGGTATTCTAAGTATTAAGAGTTCCAAACTGAAATCCAATTGCATGGGCCATTTGCAGAAATGACACTCGTAAGCCCTTCACTATTTTTTCCCTCCTTTCCTCAAAGTCCTCGAAACACGATGAGGAATAAATATGGGCAATTTCTTGTCTGTGGGTCTGTTAGTATTCACTTTCCTATCCATGCATGGTCTTGGCACATATTAAAAGGAAAAGAAAAGCGAAAGGCTGATTTCAGCCCGTATCCTTCAAATAGAGATAATAGAATTCTCAATACTCAGAGCAAGAAAAGCCGCATCTGGTTGCTGAGGGCCCCGTGTGAAAGAGTGCAATTTCTTCCCAGGAAGCAACTAGGGACGTGCTTTCTGGTTGGAGGTCAGCCTAGAGAATCCAACAGGGTACATTTAGAGCAGGTAGATGGGGTAGCTTTCATAGTAAACACCGGGCAAACTTTGTTCTCATGGATTTCTCAGCATTGGGTTGACAGTTGAGAGTCATTGTATGGGTCAGTTTTCTCTTGAAACGTGTTTATTTTCTGGGTAGATTAGAACACATCAGAAGTCTCTATTTTAGGGTTACATTAGACCTGAAAATAAAAGAATGTACTGTAAATGAACAATTTTAGCAGATTTGATTTTGACTCACAGTGTTGCAAACAAAACAAACCTGTAAACCATGCCCTGCTACTTGAGTGTGCTCAGAAATTTATACCGGGGAGGGAGGAGTAAGGCACCTCATTACATTTTTCATTTTAAGGACATAGTTATATTTTAAAACATGAGTTGCTCCTGATAACAAATTGAATAAGAACTGTCAGTGATCTAAGAACCATAATGTTGCGTCACAGTTCTAGTTATGACGGGGGCGGGCAATTTCACATTATTAAAAGTATTTACTACTACTTTTTGAGCCCCGTGGAGACTAGTTGAAAAGTTTTCCCCACTAAGTTAAGATAATCTTTCCATCTGATAAGATGGAGTATTGACTGAGTAATTAATGCCTAGGGTTGGGTTTCCTGAGGTGCTCATGCTCCCTATGAATTTATGTCTGTTTCTCAAATGGTTTTCTTTCATTTGTGACATCCCCCAAATTTCTTTGTTACATGTGCTATAATTTTGGTGACTTAATTCTAACAATTTGTATTCTTTTACTGTTCTTGGTTGTTAGGACAGTGTTCAAACATTTAAGAAAAAGGAGGATAGGTTTTCATAAACTACTCTCTTCTGAGTTACTGAAGAAACAGTTTCTTATCGCGGTTTATATTCTATTTGATTTTTAAGGTTTGCCTTACAGGATTTTCAACGATTCATTTGATATCATTAAATATTTTCCAGTTAAGTTCGAGTGTTTATTTTTGTGATGGGTTTTACTGTGGGATAAAAGGTCTTCATTTTATGAGAATAGATTTACTCGGTATGGTTAATTTTTTCTAGGGTTGTCAACTAGAGAAAGGAATCCCTTTTTTTTATTTTTTTTACTACAGACTTTTCTTAGGGTGGGAATGTCTAAAGCACTTCCTAACCAAGTATGCTAAGGCTAGCCTCCTGAGCCATCTGCTCTTTTTGATATCCCACCCCTGAGCTGTCTGCTCTTTTGGATATCCCACCCCAACTTGCTCACCTAACAAGAAGGAAAGTAGTAGTTCTCAGTGGGTGTTAAGATGTAGTTTTGAAATTCCACCTGAATTTCCACCACGTAACTAAAAACCCTTCCTAGCATTTCTATAGTGAGTGTTCTGATTTTATCTCAGTTCTTAATGGGAGGGGTACCTTCTCTATTAGGATGATTATTATACTTTGAAGTCTCATTGACACTTTTTAAATTAATGAGCTCAACTTGTGAGAATTTACTGAGTCAAAGAAGCTCTGTCTAAGTGAGTTGACAAACTATTTCCAAGATCTAGGAATATCATTTGAATCATTTTACTGAAAATTAATCAAGGGATTTAACCAGCATACAAACAACCTCAAAGATGGAAATACTTTCTTCCTTTCTTATGTTTTCCTTTATTTACAGGCCTAATTGGATGAAAGGCAAAAGCTTTTTAAAGACAAGCCCTGAGCTCACTCCCTCTAGATGGCATGCATTGTGTGCTGATTTTCAGTTTAAAACCTCATAATTCTGGAAGCTTCTCATAACTTTTTGGTTTCCTCCTTTTTTCAACTGTGTGTGATTATGAACATTATTTATATGAGGGAGACTTTTTTTTAGCTTTGCTAACTAAAGCAGTAACTCTGCAGCATTTTCACTGAGAAGAAGGCAGAAGCTGAATGGAGTCCCCTTTTTTGCTTAGTTTAACATATGTTTTGAACAATAGGAAAAATAAAAGTAATGGGTCTTGTTTACAAGCCTGATGATATTTTATGGAGCTGTTTTCTCTTGGAGATCAAACAAGACCACAATCTTGTAGCACAATACTGTGGTAAACATTGATTTTTACAAATTAGATCCCTAAAGAGCCCATGCAAGAAGCTGAATTGGGGTTTAGAGAAATTACTCAGAAGCAGAGTAGAAATTAATATTTTTTACTTATTTGTTTCAGCATTCATAATAGGCATTATTTTAGTAGTGCTTTGGCATTGACAAATTCTGACATTTATTTTTTTTCTAAGTACAGCATTTTGTCAATTCCCCTTTCATCTCCATTCTTCTTCCTTGTTACCAGGAAATTTTGTCCTGGCTATCATATAAAGCATAGTTAGAATGTTTTCTTAAGCAAAATTTTGCTTTACGTCCAGTGAACGATTTCTACTTTCAGAATCAGTATATTGAAAAGAAGTGTCCGTCCTCCGTAGTCAGCAAACATATAGTGAGTTTTTCCTGGGTCCCAGTTATCAGGACTCAATGTCAAATAGCCAAGTCAGTTGGCACCCAATTTGTAAGTAGCCACAAGATGTAGCCATGGCAAAACCCTGCCTGTTCTGTAGGCTCTCCCTGTCTCAGCTTGGTATTATCAGTAGAAATTGTTTTCTTTGCAGCTTGGAACTTTCCAATTGTAGTGTTAGTGTGGGGTGCTTCCTGGCAGTGCTAATTTTACTTCATTAGAGTTTCATTCATTGAGTTGATACTTGGAAATTATATATTGAATTTACTGGCATGTTAAATTTTCTTTGTTGTTTTTTCTCACTGATTTAATTTTTTTCATCTGGCTTACATAAATGCTTTTAAAACAAGGAATTATTTCATCTCCTGATTTGTACACATACAATGGCCACTCTTGGTGGTGTCCTGTGAGTTTAATATGGACAATTTATTATTATTGTTACTATTGTTGTTGTTGCTGTTGTTGTTACTTATGGTGATATTATGACCATTAATTTCAATTGGATTTCTGTTTAAGAAAGGAGAGAATGCAGACTAGGTGGAACAAAGCAAGGAACTTAATTTATAATCATATCTGAACTCAAGATACTGAAAAATAATAATAAAAAGCAAACAAAAATTACATTTAATGATGTTGGTAAGGGAATGAATAGGAAATCTTTTCCCAACTCCCAACTCCTCCATTTTCTCTTTGTCTGCAGCTTCCTCTAATGCTGCTTATGCCTGGTTTTTGTTTATTTCACTCCTTTCATGCCTTTGACATTGGACTATAAACTCTTTATTCTGTTTGTTGGGAGTTTTTTCATTACACCTGTGGCATGCTCCTAAAAATCTCTTTAATGAAAATCTGGCAAGTAGAAGATGGGATGAACCCAGTACCTCTCTTAAGAATAGATCGCAAGAAGGAACTGAAAAATGAATACCGTCATGTAGGACACTTTTACCTTGGGTTAGAGACAGGCTCAACAGTTGCTGAGGAAGTTGTGAGAGATAGCTTGCATGCACTGAAGATTTAGTGAAGTATTTTGGCCCCCAATATCAGACGTGTGTCTGTATCTTTGTCTGTCTGTCTATAGTATGTATATATGTATGTGTCTTGCAGCACTGGGTTTTGAATCTATGCCTTCTGCTCTGAACTATCTGCAAAGCCTATCTTAATCTCTGTCCTTTTCCCTCTGCTGACCCTATTGATAACCTTCTGCTAGACACTGGGAATAATTACACTCTCCCTTTCCCCAAAACTCTGTCTGGATCAGTATCTATTCATCTATTCTGTATGACAAGGTCAGTGCTATTCTTCACATGAAGGTGCTCAGGCGACATGCAAATAATCATTGGCAAAACAAAGAAAAATAGTAAGGAAATCATTCTCCTTTAGTTTCCTTGTCAGCAATTCATCAGGTTCTGTGATTATCATTTATACCACGTTATCCTCATCCTAAACACAGCACTAACTTTTAAATAAGGACTTGTGAAATACCATACAATTATCACAATTTGCTGTTCTTCGTGTTGTATAAATAATTGTACATTTTTATACGTAGCCAGTATTTTCCAATCTATTCACTAATACGCAAATAACTTCAAGTAGTCCAGTAAGGCTTAATGTTCTGTTAACTCCCCTTGCTAATAGTCAGAATATTAGAAATACCTGTTGACCATTTTAGAAAACCTCTCTGAAGCAGAACACAAAGCTTCTGGAAACTTCTCTCCTTCTTCTAATGTTTTAGATTGTCACTCACTAAGGGCTGCATTTAGTGTCTGCATCACAGAGCTGAGAGGGCACAAATTATGGTTTGCAAACTCATGAATGATGCCATTCTTCTCTCTCACACTGTTTGCTGCCAATCTGCCAGACACATCAGGGTTGAGAATGGATCATTCGGATAA